GTTGCCTCTTCTACTTGCCTCCCATGCGAGCAGAATCCTACAGTCCCACTTCCCGTGATGGCGTATTTCACAGCGCATCACATCCTAAGGATCCATCCATGTGGTAGCAGGTGTCAGAAAGTCCTTCCTTTTTAAGGCTAACATTCCATTGTGTGGGTGGACCACATTTCATTGTCCATGTTACTTCTTGATGGACATTTGAGTTGTTTCCACTTGGAATATGCAACTGTTTAAAGGCAAAAACAAAATTCTATCCTGAGAAATCAGTGACAGAATGAATCGTACTTTGTAAATGTGCATTTCTGAACACCATTCAAAATGCAGGCCAGAGTATATTTCTAAGTTAGACGCCCTATCAGCTTGTGGTCCTGTCCCATGTCTTCCTCCTCATTCAGTCATCGTGGGACTTGGACTCCCATTTACCACCATGTTTCCATTGGTGGTAGAGCTGAAAATCCCAGAAAATCAGCTACATTCATAGAGGTGGACATTTAAATGTCTTAAATGAGATAAGCGTATATACCCATGTGCGTGGTTTTCCTTTGCTGCTTTATTCTGCAGCAGATTTCTCAAAATGATAACATGGAGCACGTATACGCTTAAGGGAGAAACCTCTTTTATCAACGTGTACTTAAGAGGTCCATCTCATCAACTCTTTAACGTGAATAAGTTGTATGTTTATGTTCAGTCATGAGAGTGTCTCTTCAGGGAGAAAGCACTGATCTTCCATTATGAATAAGGTGCACAGCAGGCAGTTTGAGCTAGAAATTGTTGAGAACAGATTTATTACGCTTCACCTAAGCTTTGAATTTGGAAGTTTGTGACGTTAGACTTAAAAAGTACGTTGTTGGCTGAAATCAGTGGCATGTGTGTTCCGGGTTAAGTTTTGTTTTCCTTGTAAATATCAGCAAATAAGGAAACAGAATTGTTAAGGGTTTGTGGCCGTGGAATACATACAGATAGAAAAGACTTCTGTGGACTTTGAAGCAGGTGGGATGTCTGAGAGTCTAGAAAAGTTACTGAAGACAGGGAGTCTGGAAGGAAAAGACCTGCCCCTAGATGTCAGGAAGCTGGAAGGCTCTGGAGTCCCTGGGCCCTCCAGAGTTGTGAAAAGCCTCCATCTGTACCTTGCCTCCTCATCTGCATCCCGATTTTCCATGTCTTGGAACTCCTAGGCTTTCCCACATTACCTAGATGTCTTCTCCGATGCAGTTTGCGATCAGAAATGAGCAAAGTCCACCTCGTCGGTGGTTACGCTTTCTAGCAGCGGTGCACCCATGTGCGTGGATACTTGCCGATGCAGCACTGAGCGGTGGCATGTTGGATGCAGCACTTCCCTGCCCTCTGTCCTCCAGAGGGCACCGCCTGAAATGAGCCCTTCCTCTGCACAAACATGCCAGGGCTCCTTTAGCCCACACAGCACTCGGGATCAAGTACCCCGTGCCTGTCCGTTTGGGGGCCCTTTCGTATTCTGTTGCTTCATTTGCCATACGTGTCCCTTATATATTCTGATGTGTCTCCAGAGCCTGCATTCCTTTAAGGCTATACCAAAGGCCTCGGGCTCTGAAAATCTTTTTAGAGCATCCATACCCAAAGAGGGCAAACATAGTTCTTACTCATCTTGTACTTCATTTCTACATCCCTCATATCTCTACATTGCAAAGCACAGTCTGATCTCCTGGGAGCTTTTTAAAGATGTCTCAGGAATGCAGAAGCTGAGGGGCGCCTGGGTGGCACAGTCGGTGAAGTGTCTGTCTTCAGCTCCGGTCATGACCTCAGGGTCCTGGGATTGAGCTTCCCTCCTCATCAGGGAGCCTTGCTTCTCCTTCTCCCTCTGCTCCTTGCACACATGCGCTCTCTGTCTCTAATTAATTAATTGAAAATCCATTAATTAATTAAAATTAATTAATTAATTAAATCTTTTTTTTAAATGCAGAAGCTCGGGCCCAACTATGGGACTGCTGAATCAGATCTGCATTTTAAATCCTGGGAGACTTGTCTGCACATTACAGTTTGAGAAGTGTTGGTTCATCAAGCCTAGAAATGTCTTCAAGGCAGGAACTATATCTTGCAAGACCCACCTTCCCCCCTCACAATATCTAGCAGGTTTTGTGCATAGTAGTTATTTAGTAGATACTTATTAAGAGAGTAAATACAAACTCTAATCTCACCACGTGGCGGCTTTTTTGTACTCAACACCACCGAAGCATTTAACGACTAGTATTTAGGCAGGAGTTACGAGGTACAGACCCAAGGTACTATCTGCATATAGTCTTTCTGTATTCTAGATTTTGCCCTTAAAATTGTATACCTGGTGCTTGAGAGGTGGGCTGGGAGGAGATGAAACAGATCCAGGCACTCCTTGGAGGACTGCCACGTGCCTGGAGAGTTGGCAGCCCGTGGGTCGGGGTTGGGGGGGGCAGGAGGGGAGGCAAGTGCTGCTCTTGAGCCCAGCCACCACGATGCTGCTGGCTCAGGTAGTCACCCCAGCTGGGGCGCTGATAAGCTTTCCCTGGGAGCCTTCCCCATACCACCAGTCTCACCCACCATCCTTGGCGGTGTGTACTTTGGTGCTGGTGGCCTCTGCGATACTCACTCTTCCTCTTCTATCTCCTGCCCTTTCACCTGGTCCCTCTTCTACCAAAGCTTGAATCACTGGGGACCCAAGGTTGTATTCTCTGTGGTTATCTGCCAATGGGTCTGTCTTCGGTCTTGGCTGCCTCCTGACATCTCCCCACCCCTTAGTCCTTAAATACCTCCTGCTGGGATGGGGGGATCTTTCCTTTCCCCGAGAGCCTCCCCTCCTTGCACCGTCCACTGGCACAGCCTCTGGGCCTCTCCCATGGGGCATGTCTCTCCAGTGCATGTAACATGCACCTTGACTGTACATGGCTGAGGCTGTCATCTTGGGCGGGTGGAAACTTACTTGCAATCTCTCTGTTATTATGTTGGGATAAAATTGTCTAGACTTTTGAAACCAGTTATTAACAAAACCATGAAGCAGTCCATTCCGTTAGGAGTAGTTGTTTAATTTTGTTTATGGTGTTGACTTGCAATGAGTAATTGCCTTGTCAACCGAAGAGTTTGGCTGTCCGTGAATCTAGGTGGAGGTTTTAGGAAAATACCAGGCACTTGCAGAACTGAGCCATGGTCATTGCTTAGTACCCAGCTCTTTAGCTACATAGGAAAAACGTACTGCTCTAGCGCTTTGTGAGGACTTTAGAAGTCATTCTCAAGTTAGTCATGGCAAACAGTCGAGCTGTGAACTTTCAGACTGTACACAGCTCAGAACTGTTAACTTTTTTCACTAGTTTTCCTAGCAGTTAGTAAAGATAATAGCTTCCTGGTATAAAACTGGGGTTGGCAAACTTTTTTTTGTAACAAGCCAAGTAGTAAATATTTTTGGTTTTGTGGGCCAAAATACTCAATTCTGTCCTGTAGCAGTATGTATGTAAACAAGTGGGTGTGGTTATATTCCAGTAAAATTTTATTTACCAAAAAAAAAAAAAAAAAAGGCACAGCTGGCTGCTCATGGGCCATAGGTTGCCAGGCACTAGTACAGAAAGGCTGGGTTAGTTGCTGCCGAGTTGATTATTACTATACAGGAAAAACTAGGATTAAAGTTCAAGATGTCCCAGGATTAAAGTTATCATCAAATGGGTCATATACAAACAAGCTTTACATACATCTGTGTTTGGCACGGAGTCGTGAATACCTTAATAGGCACAGTGTGGCATAATCTAAGTAGGACTTTTTTTTTTTTTTTTTTTAAATTTTTATTTTTTTATTTATTTATGATAGGCACACAGTGAGAGAGAGAGAGAGAGGCAGAGACACAGGCAGAGGGAGAAGCAGGCTCCATGCACCGGGAGCCCGATGTGGGATTCGATCCCAGGTCTCCAGGATCGCGCCCTGGGCCAAAGGCAGGCGCTAAACCACTGCGCCACCCAGGGATCCCTAAGTAGGACTTTAATCAAAGAAATTGCTAAGTGTTAGGCAGGGATGTGGAGGATTTAGAACCTTCACACACAGGACGCTAGCAAACCGCCCAGCGCCTCCTCCAGGTGTTCACCGCAGTTGCCATATGACCCAGCACGGTCATTCCTAGGTGCATACCCACGGGAAATAAAGACATATGTCACACAGAAACTTGAGCACCAGGGTTCATAGCAGCATAATAGCTGGACAGTAAAAACTCCAGTATCTAGCAATGGAGGAGTGGATCAATAAAACGTGGTATTCCATACAACGGAGTATCGTTCAGCCATAAAAAGGAATAATGTACTGACAGGTGCCGCAACACGGTTGAGCCTTGAAACATTATGCTGATTGAAGGAAGCCAGTCACAAATGCTGTGTATCATAGGATTCTTTTTATATGAGCCGTACAGTAGAGGCAAATGCATAGCGAAGGGAGTAGGTTAGTGGGTGCCGGGATGGAAGGGATCAGGAAATGACCACCCATGGCTACTGGGTTTCTTCTAGGCTCGGGGAAGTGTCCTGAAATGGGATGTCGTGCTTGCACAGTTCTGCGAATATACTAAATAGCCATTCCCTTGTATATTTAGATGGATGAGTTTTGTGGTATTTGAATTCTATCTCAATAAAGCAATTGCAAAAACCTAGTTATGGGATTCATGTATGAGAAATAGTAATTTAACAAAAAAATGTATCATTACTGTTTGGATAAAGGAGATGGAGAAAACCAACCTGTGCCTTTGGCTCCACTGTTTAGGGTTGTGTTGTTTGTGAGTGCTCATGCTCTTCCCTATTCCCTCGGTGAATAGTAGCCCTCGTTCGTGCAGAGGTGGCCCCGGGTGAGGCCCCTTGTTCCCAAATAGGAATCATGCGGCCTCAGAGCCCAGGAAGGGTCCTGGCTGATCCTGCAGGTGGTCCTAGAACCTGTGGGCAACACATGTCACAGGCGTGTTGTTTCTGGCTGAGTTCTGGGCACTTGCTTTGCTCGTTTGGAAGCTCATGGGACATGCCTCTTTGTTGCAGATTGAAGAAGGAAGTAAAGCTGCGGCGGTGGACAAGTTACTGGCTGGGGATGAGATCGTCGGCATCAACGACATCGGACTCTCAGGGTTTAGACAGGAAGCGATTTGCCTGGTGAAGGGGTCTCATAAAACCCTAAAGCTGGTAGTGAAACGGTAAGACCCGTGCCTTGTGCCATCTTTGCAAACAGAAGTGAGTGAAATAGCAAAATGTGAAGCCAGGTTGGCTGATTATGGTATCGCAGCAAGCGATGTCCCATTTGGACTTGAGTGTGTTCATGCGTACGTGCACATAAAATTATATTTCTTGGCCAAGGATGAAGCGTGTATGCACACATAGAATTATGTCTCTTGACAAAGGATGAATCCAGTGCCAAAAACTTAAAAGATGCCTTCTTTTATTAGTACCGATTGATTTATGAAGTAAATTTGAATACTCTTTTCTTCAGCAATACCTAGATTATTCTCTTAAGAGAACTATGCTCATCCTCCACATGAGGTGTTGTTGCCTGTTATTTCCACAAGGTGGCAGGCTACTGCGTTTTTGGTTTTCATGCCAGAATCGACAATTAATTGCACCAAGAGGGAAGTCAGCTACCAGGAGTTTGCAGTGCTGTGCTGGGGTCAGGGGGGATTCAGCTGCTTGTTCCTACAAACCAGATTGCCGGTGCAAGTCTGGAGGACTTGAAACGATTAGGAAAGTGGAATTAGGGATGTGATGCTTTTACACACAGGAGCTACAACAGTTCTCCTGGACCCCTGCCATGAAATTACTTATGATTGGTTATCTTCATATAGAACAAATGTTCCACCTTGCGTTTCGTAGATGGGTAATTATAGTAAAGTGTTTGCGTGTCCCCCCGACCCCCCTCTTTTTTTTTTTTTTTTTTTCAGAATTAGTGCAGTCCTTCCAAGCTTGGTTGTAAATTTTTTTAAATAAATGGGCTCAAGCATTTACTTACTTATTTATTTATAACGATTTTATTTATTTACTCCTGAGAGACACACACACACAGAGAGAGAGAGGTAGAGACACAGGCAGAGGGAGAAACATGCTCCACGCAGGGAACCCAATGTAGGACTTGATCCCAGAACCCTGGGATCACACCCTGAGCTGAAGGCAGACGTTCAACTGCTGAGCCACCCAGGTGTCCTATTTACTTCAATTTTTAATACAGACCTGAAGGTATATTCCCAAAGGACTTTAGTCTTTTTTGTTGTTTTTTGTTATGGACTCCCCCTATCCAAGGAGGAGCCTCAGAAACAACGAAGGAAAAACTCGTTCGTTGCCTCACTGAATTAGCAACCTCATTCCTAAGTGGTGCGGACTATCCTCTTTGTAAATCAGCAAAGTTTGGGAACCCTTTGGAGAGGATGAGGTGGGAGAGATGCTGTTATACTGTATGGCTATTCCTTTGTGGTCACATTAATGGTCTTTCTAAGGCAGGATGTGTGTTCTCACAGCACTCTATGGGACTTGGTGCAGTGATGATGACGGGAAGGGACACTTGGTGCACAGAGGTGAGCTAGGCTTTACCAAGCTATCTCCAGGTGTCCTCACCAGTCTCCAGGCTCATTGGACCTGCTGCTCTCCTTTGTCTCCCATAGGAATCTGCAGGTTGACTTGAAAACAAGATGCTAGGTTTTGACAGAGATTACCAGTAGCAGGACCCATTCTTGGTGAGAATGTGGGGGAATAAGCATGTATTTGCTCTAATGCCAGTTAGAAAACAGAGTAAACAGACTTTGTGGTGGGTAGTTTGGCAACATGTTTCAGAAGGTGTCTCTTGCACCCACAGATTTTGTTTCTGGGATCCCAGATACTCAGCAAAGGGAAATTACTGAAATGAATTAGAGACCATCCAGACTATGAAGTACTGCTGTTACAAGTGATGTTAGCAATTGCTGCCGTGAGAAGATGCTCCACAAAGTCCAGTTGAGTGGAGCACATAAAGGTAGTTAGAGAACTGTGTATGTCCATCCTTACAGTTTCTTTAAGATTTATTTACTTCTTTGAGAGAATGAACGGGGTCGAGGGAGCAGAGGGAGAGAGAGAGAGACGAGCCTCAGACTCCCTGCTGAGCGGGGAGCACAAGACGGGGCTCGATCCAGGATTGTGAGACCATGACCTGAGACAAAATCAAGAGTCGAACACCCAACCACCTGGGTCCCCCAGGCACCCCCTATTCTTAATTCTTAGTTTTAATTTTTAAAAATATTGTGGTACAACACACATAGCATAAAATTGACCATCTTAACCATATTTAAGTATACATTTAAGTTCTATATGGGTGCTCACGTCGGCAGCACATATACTAAGTACTATATGAGTTTTATCACAATAAGAACTCTTGAGATTGTTGCATTTTTAAAGAGGAGAAGCCTTTGGGATTCTGTGTGCCTCTATTCACAGGACTCAGCAGAAAGTGGGATCCCCAGGAAACCGTCAGCTGTGGCATCATGTTCTGTACAAGGCAGGGCCCCAGAGGAGGTTGATTTATTACTCTGTGATGAAGACAGAAGGAATGACTGTACGAAGGGTGGGTGTTTGAATGCTGGCTACAGTATACTCGAAGGCTGTTTATTCTTCATTTACTTAGTTTTTAAAGCAATACCTGGGCATAGTTAGTAGAGTACCCATTTTCAGAGGAACACGTGGGGTGGAATAGGTCACTCGCGCACCCCTGTTTTGCCTCTCCGGAGAGCAGTGTTGTCACTACTGATCTCTTGGGCTTCTTGGAGTTCTTTTTTTTTTTTTTTTTTTAAGATTATTTATTTATTTATTCATGAGAAACCCACAGAGAGAGAAGCAGAGACATAGGCAGAGGGAGAAGCTGGGTGCCCCAGCTTCTTGGAGTTACATATGTGCTTGTGTATTTACATATGTATCTGCGGAGATTGTTCTATGTTGTGTGCAGTAAAGTCTGACTCGTGATTTCTCTGAACAACCCCGTGGTGCTGCACAGTCTGGATCGTCTGCTGTTGTTCAGTGAACAGCTGTGGTGCTTCTGGTGGGTACATGTAACACACAGAGCTGCCATGTGGTGTCCTTGAACCCCACTGTGCGTCCCTGTCCTACGTAGAGAGCGTTACAGTGCATTTCCAGCCCCGGGGTACTTGAATCAGAGGGTTTGTGCAGCATGAACCATTACAGCTACCTCCACGTTTCTCAGATCACTTTTCAGACTCAGATCCACTCTAGCAGAAGCGTTTTCAGTTTGTTTCTGTTCTCTTTTTGAATGTGACAGGTGAAAAATGGCTTCAGTGTTTAAGTGGGCATTTTTCACTACGAGTGAAGTTGGGCATCATTCCTTATGTATAGAAACTTTTTTTGACCTAGAGGAACATCTTTAAGGATATAAAAAATAAACTAAATTCTGTTGAAAGCAAAGCATCTCTGCCACAGAGATCTTGTCACTAGAGAGTTCAGGAAGGCCTTTGGGGCCTGTCATCTGGTGGAGTTATGTAAAAGACTCTTGGGGAGAGGGATCAGACTTTTGCCCCAAAGGATTTATGGGAGCCACTATGTAGAACCCTGCTTTTGCATTTGTATATGCCATTTTCTCTTTCCTTTTTTGCAAAGATTTATTTATTTACTTGAGAGAGAGAATGTGCACAAGAGAGAAACAGAGCAAGTGCACAGAGGCAGAGGGAGAAGTAGACTCCATGCTGAGCAGGGAGCCTGATACAGGACTTGAACCCAAGGATCATGACCTAGGCCGAACGCAGATGCTTCACCGACTGAACCACCAGGAGCCCTCCAGTTTTCTTTAAATGAGGGGTGTGCATAATAATTACCTAGTTTAGATGGGAATTAATGTTTTAAGGAATATATAAAGCAAGATATAAAAGCAAACCCATGCAGTTTGTTCACTTTTTTTTTTTTTTTTGCAGACATACTTTTCTTTATGTTATTTTTTTTAAATGTATTTGACAGGGATGCCTGGGTGGCTCAGTTGGTGAGCGTCTACCTTCAGCTCAGGTCATGATCCTGGGGTCCTGGGATGGAATCCTGCATCAGTCTCCCTGCTCAGTGGGGGGTCTGCTTCTCCCTCTGCCCTTCACCTCACTTATACTTTCTCTCTCTGTCTCAAACAAATAAAATCTTAACAAAAATAAAACAATTTTCTCTGAAACTGGTAACATGTATTCTTCATCTAAATTTAAATTTCTGCTTAAACTCTGCCATTCTCTTTCTCCATCCCCAGGCAACCACTAATCAGACTTCTGTCTCACACATCAGTTAGCATTCTCTAGCATTTTCTGTAGAGCTCCAAAATAGATCATGCACTCGTCCAAAAAAAAAAAAAAAAGTGGCCAGTTTAAAAAAGGCACTCTACTCTGTAAATTATTCATAGACAGAGCCACAGACACATAAATACCCTATGTTGCCCTACCCAGGAGGGTAGCCAATGATAAACTAGCTTGTTTAGCTCTTGTTTAACTTGATTCTGATACCTGCCCCGTCTTTAGGTACCCCAAAAAGGGTCACATTTATGATGAAGACTGCAAGTGGCCAGTACAGGTTTGGTGGTTCTGGAAGGTTGTGGGGACAAGGGGGTATGCACTTTATTGTAAAATCCATACCCATAGTTTTTGGGATTTTTGTTTTTTTTTTGTTTTGTTTTTGTTTTAAGTAGGCCCTACACTCATTACGGAGCCCGACATGAGGCTTGAACTCAGGACGCTGAGATCAAGACCTGAGCTGAGACCAAGAGTCAGATGCGTATTACCAACTGAGCCACCCAGGTGCCTCTCCCTACTCGTACTTTTATTAATAAAATGAAGTAGTGGGCAGCCCGGTTGGCTCAGCAGTTTAGCACCACCTTCAGCCCAGGGCGTGATCCTGAGGTCCCCGGATCGAGTCCCACGTTGGGCTCCTTGTATGGAGCCTGCTTCTCCCTCTGCCTGTGTCTCTGCCTCTCTCACTCTCTGTGTCTCTCATGAATGAATAAATAAAATCTTAAAAAAAAATAAAATAAATAAAATGAAGTAGTGGTTCACACACTGACTCCTTCCTGCTACTGATAGCTGCTACCTTTTTTTTTTTTTTAAAGATGTGTTTATTGATTTGATGGGGAGAGGCAAGAGGAGAGCCAGCATGGAGTCCCAAACAGACTGCCACTGGGTGTGGAGCCCGACATAGGGCTTGATGC